AATCCGGGTTAGGGCAGTGAATGGGGTAGGAAGTACGGGGTGCTGCGAGATATTTGTGAGGGCTGCCAGCATCGCGGGATTGTGCAAGCACATCCAGGGAAAGGGACCCTAGGGGCTCTACGGGCCGTGTCTGCGCGAATTCTTGAGTTGGTGGCCGGCGGGATCCACTACTCTGTGCTCGCCACCGGTGCACCAGGCTTGACCTGACAGCACTTATGGGACTCGCCACGTCTGTGGGTCACCAAGTGATACTGGCAGTGACTGGTTATGCCTACGGACCCGGACGTACTAGGCCGCTTGGTGCTCGCCCAGATTCACCAAAAGAATAACGGCGGCACTCTAGTACTGGCACTCTGCTGCATATGAGAGTCATCATGCATTTGTACCACCTCAGCACACTGTGATATGGGAGGATCGGGTACGCCTGGACCTTAGCAGGGACCACTTTCCTCGTCGTCTTTGCTAGCTGTCAGGGTGCCCGCTGCTGCTGTCTATAGGTTTCGTATTTCTGAGGCCTGGTTCTGCCAGTGAGAGTCTTTCCCCTTCGCTCTCTCACTTGACATGCTCAGAATCCTATAGCCTCGTTCACTAGAGCGTACCTTTGCTTAGACATTTTGGCCACTAAATTTTACAGGTACCTAGTGCGACTCACGGGAAAAAATGTAGCGCCTGGCTGTCAGGGACTGCTTGAACCGGCTACAAAAAATTTACCGACAAGTTGCTAACAGATATCAGGCTGATTCTGTGAACACTGCGGTTTTGTTGTGTAATATGTATCAAGTGACAGTTATCTACTGACACTGCCACTTGCCGGAGGGAAAGGGGGGGGGCGTATGGAGGAGGCTAAACGCAGGTGCTGGCAGGTGTTGGGCTGATCCCGCTAACACTGCGTTTTTGGGGATACTAAAGTAATGTGAATGCTGGTATTATAGCGCTGATCTGATCAAAGATATTGATCCAATCAGACTCACTATGCAATGAAGGTTTAGCGTGCAAGTTAAGCGTGTTCCTGGCAATGCAAGGGGTCAAATGTGATTATCTGTGTACTAGCGGGCAAACTGGTGCTATCTGGGAGGGGCGCTAAAACTATCGGAAGTCACCAGTACCAACGGTCACCAGTACCAATACAGTGATCAGTAAAAAATCTGTTCACTGTAAATCAATGACACCTGGTGACAGGGCAGTGACTGAAGGGGTTAACAGGAGGGGGGGTGGGGGGCGATCAAGGGGTTTAAATGGGATTACTGATGTACTGGCGGGTAAAAACTGGCGCTAATCTGGGAATAGGGGCGCAAACAACACACTATTGAGAGAGAGTCGCCAGCGACACTGAATACAGTGATCAGTATAAAATTGGTTCACTGATCAGTGACACTGGTGACAGGGCAGTGAGAAGGGTAGTCAACTCGGGGGGGGGGGGGAGATCAAGGGGTTAGACGGGACTACTGGTGGTATTAGCGGGCAATCTGGCGCTATCTGGGAGGAAGGGCCCGCTAACACTACGGGAAAGTCTAGCCATGCGACACTGAGTGTGGTGATACAGTGATCAGTAAAAAATTGGTTTCACTGAGATCAGGTGACACTGGTTGAGAGGGCAGTGAAGGGGTCGAACTCACGGGGGGGGGGGGGGGCGATCAAAGGGCTTAGACGGGACTACTGGTGTAATTAGATGGGCAATGCTGGCGCTATCTGGGAGATTAAACACTAACGGGGCGTAACACTATCCTGGTTCACTGATCGTGACACTGGTGAGGGGCAGGTTGAAGGGGTCACTCAGGGGGGGGGGTCGCCGTCAACTGAGGGTTTAGAGGGATACTGGTGTAGTTGATCAGTAAAGTCTGGAGCGCTATCACTGGGAGAGGGCTAGTGACACTGGTCAGGACATCTCCAGCGACACTGATACGAGTGTATCAGTAACAAGAATCGAGCTTCACTGATAGGCAGTGACACTGGTGACAGGGCAGTTTAAGGGGGGTTAAACTGGGGGGGTGGGGGGGGAAATTAAGGGGTTAAATGGGCTTTATTGGTGTACCGGGGGGCAAACTGGCGCTATCTGGGAGGGGCGCTAGCACTATTGGAAGTCGCCAGCGACACTGATACAGTGATCAATAAAAAATCGCTTCACTGATCAGTGAACACTGGTGACAGGGCAGTGAAGGGTTAACTGGGTGGGGGCAATCAGTGGGGTTTTTAAATGTGTGTCCTAGACTGGTGTTCTAACTACTGTCAGTGTGCTGTTTTACTCACGTTTAAATGTCTCTTCTTCTCTGCCTGGAACGGAATGTGTCCATGGCAGAGAGAATGACATCATATCCTGCCCTGTGTAAATATCAACACAGGACAGGATAGGACAGGGACCGATCATCCGATTTCAGCCAGAAATCACTGGCTGAAATCTAATGATTGATCCCTCCTGGATCGAATCGGATCACCCGCGGGTCGGCGGGAGCGCCGCGCGCGCCCCCTGCCTGCGAAAGTGTCGGGAGCGGCGGAACCGTTTTTTTTTAAACGTGGTTTTGCGCTCCACTGCCGCCCTGCACACGTGTATACACAGTGGCAGGGGCGGCAAGCGGTTAAAGTGCGGCTCTGCCATCCGGAGACTCTTGGCTGTGAAGGCCCTCTAGTGGCAGACCAAATTTACTGCATTGCATAAAAGAAGAAAAGTAAGTTTGGAAGTTAAAAGGGGAAAACCCCACCCTCTACACTGCATTTCATTCTCCATATAAAATTGTTCTTGTTTCATTTAACCCTGTGTCAGCAAATTTCTTGGCGGGGTATTTGCTATTCATTACCAGTTGTGCCAGAAGGGATTGGGTTTGCTTAGGGTTGGATCTATTGAGCGCAGGACGCATAATATATTCCAGCTTGTCCCAAGGGGCAGTGCTACAGTAGCAACTCACAAGATGCATAAGGATAAGAGCATGTAATCCACCCAGTGCGGTTTATACTGCTGAGCCTCAGTGGTGTCTTCAGGAGCCAGGAAGAGCATGCCACTGTCAGGAGCTGTGCAGGACATCAGAAACTCAAAAACCAGAGATCTTTGAGTACAGGTGAAACTCCAAAAATTTGAATATTGTGCAAAAGTTCATTTATTTCAGTAATGCAACGTTAAAAGGATGTGAAACTAATATATGAGATAGACTCATTACATGCAAAGCAAGATAGTTTCAAGCCGTGATTTGTCATCATTGTGATGATTATGGCTTACAGCTCATGAAAACCTCAAATCCACAATCTCAGAAAATGAGAATATTGTGAAAAAGGTGCAATATTCTCGGCTCAAAGTGTCCCACACTAATCAGCTAATTAAGCCATAACACCCTGCAAAGAGTTCCTGAGCCTTTAAAATGGTCTCTCAGTCTGGTTCAGTAGGAATCACAATCATGGGAAAGACTGCTGACCTAACAGTTGTGCAGAAAACCATCATTGGACAACCTCCATAAGGAGGGAAAGCCTCAAAAGGTAATTGCAAAAGAAGTTGGATGTTCCCAAAGTGCTGTATCAAAGCACATTAATAGAAAGTTATGTGGAAGGGAAAAGTGTGGAAGAAAAAGGTGCACAAGCAGCAGGGATGACCGCCTCCTGAACAACAAACAACATCAGAAGCGTCTTACCTGGGCTAAAGAAAAGCAGACCTGGTCTGTTGCTCAGTGGTCCAAAGTCCTCTTTTCTGATGAGAGCAACTTTTGCGTCTCATTTGGGAAACCAAGGACCCCGAGTATGGAGGAAGAATGGAGAGGCACAAGGACCGCGAGTATGGAGGAAGAATGGAGAGGCCCAAGGACCCCGAGTATGGAGGAAGAATGGAGAGGCCCAAGGACCCCGAGTATGGAGGAAGAATGGAGAGGCCCAAGGACCCCGAGTATGGAGGAAGAATGGAGAGGCCCAAGGACCCCGAGTATGGAGGAATAATGGAGAGGCACACACTGCAAGATGCTTGAAGTCCAGTGTGAAGTTTCCACAGTCTGTGTTGATTTGGGGAGCCATGTCATCTGCTGGTGTTGGTCCACTGTGCTTCATTAAGTCCAGGGTCAGCTGTCTACCAGGAGATTTTGGAGCACTTCATGCTTCCTTCCGCAGATGAGCTTTATGGGGATGCTGACTTCATTTTCCAGCAGAACTTGGCACCCGCCCACACTGCCAACAGCACCAAAACCTGGTTCAATGACCATGGGATTACTGTGCTTGATTGGCCAGCAAACTCGCCTGACCTGAACGCCATAGAGAATCTATGGGGCATTGTAAAGAGAAAGATGAGAGACATGAGACCGAACAATGCAGAAGAGCTGAAGGCCGCTATTGCAGCATCCCGGTCTTCCGTAACACCTCAGCAGTGCCACAGGCTGATAGCTTCCATGCCACGCCGCATTGAGGCAGTAATTGCTGCAAAAGGGGCCCAAACCAAGTACTGAGTACATATGAATGCTTTACTTTTCAGAGGTCCGATATTGTTCTATATACAATCCTTGTTTTATTGATTGCATGTAATATTCTCATTTCTGAGATTGTGGATTTGGGGTTTTCATGAGCTGTAAGCCATAATCATCACAATGATGACAAATCACGGCTTGAACTATCTTGCTTTGCATGTAATGAGTCTATCTCATATATTAGTTTCACCTTTTAAGTTGCTGCACTGAAATAAATGAACTTTTGCACGATATTCTAATTTTTCGAGTTTCACCTGTATATGGACTGGGCAGAACCAGAGATGTCACACCTGGAAGGGCCACAATGTGGGGAGCGGGGCTTTTTTTTAAGCCTCAAGACTGAGATTCAACAGCAAACCACACTGGATGGATGACAAGTTCTTATCCTTATGCATCTTTTGATTTTTAATAAAGTCTTTTCTTTGCACTTAGTTGGTGCCCTCTGCTGTTTCCTATACACAAGGTTTAGTGTAATACCTCTTGTCAAGGCAATTTTTAAGCAGAGGAGTGTGACATTTACAGCCTACTGTATGTCTCATGATACTGAGGCTTAAAGTGTTACTAAATCCCGGACCCTGTATTCACTATATCTGGTCTCCCTGGACCCTGCATTCACTATATCCGGTGCCCCCGGACGCTGCGTTCACTATATCCGGTCTCCCTGGACCCTGCATTCACTATATCTGGTCTCCCTGGACCCTGCATTCACTATATCTGGTCTCTCTGGACCCTGCATTCACTATATCCGGTGCCCCCGGACGCTGCATTCACTATATCCGGTCTCCCCGGACCCTGCATTCACTATATCTGGTCTCCCCGGACCCTGCATTCACTATATCTGTTTCTCCCTGGACCCTGCATTCACTATATCCGGTCTCCCTGGACCCTGCATTCACTATATCTGGTCTCCCCGGACCCTGCATTCACTATATCTGGTCTCCCCGGACCCTGCATTCACTATATCTGGTCTCCCCGGACCCTGCATTCACTATATCTGGTCTCCCCGGACCCTGCATTCACTATATCTGGTCTCCGGACCCTGCATTCACTATATCCGGTCTCCCCAGACCTTGCATTCACTATATCTGGTCTCCCCGGACCCTGCATTCACTATATCCGGTCTCCCTGGACCCTGCATTCACTATATCTGGTCTCCCCGGACCCTGCATTCACTATATCCGGTCTCCCCAGACCTTGCATTTACTGTATCTGGTCTCCCCGGACCCTGCACTCACTATATCTGGTCTCCCCGGACCCTGCACTCACTATATCTGGTCTCCCACAGTACACAGAACATGGAAATGCAATAATTTGTAGTTAAAATAAACTGCTAAATACATTTTCTCATCAGTAGTTAGAGCAGTCTTGTGACTTCTATCAGTGTCCAGCCGAGCACTGGTTACAGCTTGTAGGAGGAGTTTTCATTGTGCTCTAGGAGGATGCAGAACCCCTGACCTCTGTCTGGACAGTACTGATTGGCCCTGATGCACTCTCCCATAAAAAAAATTAAAAATAAAAAAAACCCTCTCTAGCAGGGGCGGACTGACAACTCATGGGGCCCCTGGGCAATGGGGGATCATGGGGCCCCTGTGTCCTTGCCCAAACTCAAAAAAGCCTATGAAAAAGGTACCAGGGGCATCTCATGGGTCCCCCTACTGATCCCGGGCCCTGGGCAGTGCCTGAGTTTCCAAATGGTCAGTCCGCCCCTGCTTTCTAGCAATACACATCAGCATATACAGAATGACTCCACATGGTATGCCTTATCAGGAAATAAGAGGGGGACACTGGAAGAAGGGGAGGATCAGAGAAGACAGGTTCAAACAGCCTTTTTACACAATGCAGAGGATTAACCCCTTAGGTCCCACAGTGAGTATAACAAGCATGCTTTACTGCATATACTGTACAGACTGATTTTACTATTGTAGGTTTAGTAACACTTTAGATATTGTACAAGAAATCCACTCGTACTTTAACATCAAGTTAGGATGCAAAGGCACGATGGAAGGCAGAAACTCATCTCTAAATATTAGGGGAAACGTATACAGAGCAACATGTTACACTGACTTGGGGAGATTGCAGTTTTGCAGAACAGACCATAAGCCAGTTGAGCTTTTGAATAATTGCTGAGTAATATAAAGTGGGAAATTGAAGCTTTCTATTTAAAGAGACTCTGTCATAAAGTAAAAAACACCCGTGTGGTTAGTCTGTGATGTAAGCGACTATTTCCTGACTCTTGTCGCAGACGGGTTATGAGCCCAGCAAGCTGAACCTACTTAACCAAGTCACTGGCCTGGACCTAGGTGATGCAGGAATAAAGGATTGGCGTCCATAAGAGCCTAATAACACAAGTGTTTTGTTCTGGACTGCGACTCTGAAAGGTGTCTGGAGTTGCAAATTCTGCCCACTGCGTAGTCTGGACATATTTCAGAATGGTTGCACCCAGAAGGAATTTTTGTATTAACATCGATCAGATTCAGCAGAAATATATTGCCTTATCTCATTACTGCTCCTTTTGTGATGTGTAGATGTGGGTAGGTGTATACAATGATCTATAATTAAAACCTAAGTTCAGGCAAGTTAAAATAAAAAAATATGGTGACCCAGAAGGTGAAAAATAAAACAAAGTTCTGGCCGAAATACACTCTTCTGCTCCAGTGCTTTTACCTGTAATAAATATTTTCTGCCACTAGATGTCCTCAGTCTTCTGAGTTGAATGACAGCCAGCATCTTTCAACATTCTGTAAGTGTCGGGTGTCATAGCTCCACCCACTGAGAGGAAACATAATGGCACCCAGCAGTCCTATACAACCATCTAAGCTTCTCTCCAACATTTATGGTTGTGTGTGGGACCTCAGCATCCTCACATACAATTTAGAATTATTGATTCTGCACAGAACTTGATGCGACTGCTGTCAGGAGCGCCTTGAAGAAGAGGCTTTGAGGTACTGGTTGCACAGCATTGAGGAATGCTGCTATAGCTGGAAGAAAGGTAAGTATTAAACCTTATTCATTTGCCCTTAGACTGAGCATTTAACCCTTGCAGTGTGTGGGGGAGGAGTTTGTTGCCCGAAGTTGGGCATCAAGATTGCTGGACAGTTAGCAATATGTCCAGCAGGGGTCAGGCTGGTACCATTCTACAGGCACGGTACCAGCACTGTGTGAACACAATTTGCAGATTCGTAGAAAATCGTCCGTGGTGTGAGACACAAAGTCTCATAAAGACGTAAGCAGAAAGTACAGCACGTGGGAAGAGAATTAACTCATCGAAGAGACCCCCTCCCACGGTTAAATCCAGCGTACGTTTTTATTTTCTGCAAGGCTATATGAAAGTATTAGAAGTCAGGGTTTTCATACACAGAACTGATGATGGCGAAAAAGTCTGAAATAACTGTATCCAGTTTATAGTAAATGGCTCTGCAATGTTGTATGAGATCTGTACTATAAATTTCAAAAGTAATAAAACAACCTTGAGTCTCTCTAAACTAAGCACCACCATGTCAATGAAAATAAAGAGCATCAGCCTCTAACCAGGGTGGACTGACAACTCATGGGGCCCCCGGGCAATAGGGGATCATGGGGCCCCTGTGTCCTTGCCCAAACTCAAAAAAGCCTATGAAAAAGGTACCAGGGGCATCTCATGGGGCCCCCTACTGACCCCAGGCCCTCGGGCAGTGCCCAAGTTTCCAAATGGTCAGTCTGCCCCTGCCTCTAACCAAAGAAGACAAAATAAAATCTATATCAATAAAGGAGTGGTTGCTGAGGGTTAAAGCTGAACTAAAAGGCCTCCCTTGCAATGGGGCTGCTCCAATACTGAAAGGGCTGACTGCTTGTTTGTGTCAAGGGCACTGGTTAAAGCAGTTTTACTTACCTGATCCTCCACTCCTGCAGGCTCTGCAGTGCTAGATCGGTCCCTGCAGCCTCTTCTCCCCTGCACTCCGGCAGTCTAAGGTCCTCTGATGTCATCAAAACCAATGCAGGGCCCTGCATTGGATGTGAGGATGCCAAGAAAAAGTCTACTGCCGGAGCACGGGGGGAGCACCATCTGGGGGGGGCAGTGAAGAATCGGGTAAGTAAAAGTGCTTTTCATCCCCCAGATAGAAATGACCAGGTGAGCCTTGTAGTGCGGGTGCAGCTCCACTACGAGAGGGGACTTTTACTTTTCCTGGAGTTTGGCTTTAACTAAAGGCTAATGCGATATAAATGCAAACATTTTTATGAAAACAATTTCAAAAATAAAAAAAAAGTTAATATTTTGAGACTTTTTTTCTTATTTTTGTATCACTTATCAATAACATGGACCTCTCCTATCCTTGAATCTACACCTCCTCCCTGGGTCAGTTGATAGCCTCCCATGGCTTCTAATACCATTTCTACATCCAAATCTATCTCTTCACCCCTGAGCTCACTCCATCAGTCTCCACACGTTCACTAATCTACTAACCGACCTATCAGCCTGGATTTCACACCAATTCCTCAATCTATCCAAAATTGACCTCATAATATTTCCTCCCCCATGTGACTCTTCCCCCAATTTCTCTGTCAAGGTTGAAGGCACAACTATCAACCCGTCCCCGCATGCCAAGGTGCTATATCCTGGACTCTGAACTCTCCTTTCAGCCCAACATCCAATCAGTGTCCAAAGCTTGCCACCTCAACCTACGCAACATCTCCAAAATATGCCCTTTCCTCACCAATGACACCACAAAGCTCCTAGTCCACTCCCTGGTCATCTCACGTCTCAACTACTGCAACTCTCTCCTCACTGGCTTTCCTTTACATAGGCTATCCCCCCTCCAGTTCATAATGAATGCTGCTGCCAGACTCATCCACCTTACCAACCATTCAGCATCTGCAACTTCTCTCTGCCAATCCCTCCACTGGCTTCCGTTCACCCAACAAATTAAATTCAAAATACTAAGAACAACTTACAAAGCCATCCACAACTCTGTCCCCAGCTACATCACTACCCTAGTCTCAAACTACCAACCAAATCGTTCCCTTTGTTCCTCCAAAGACCTCTTGCTCTCTAGTTCCCTTGGTATTTCCTCTCATGCTTGCCTCCAGGACTTTTTCCTAGTCCCACTTATCCTATGGAATTCCCTACCCCACTCTGTCCTCCTCTTCAGACAAGCCTTGCCTGCCCCCACATAATATCTGCACTTTTTATTTTCTCCATCAGCTCCTGCCCCCCACAGTTAATACCTTTTTTATCAATTGATCCTCCTTTTTTATATAGTAAGCTCTAACGAGAAGGGCCCTTTATTTCCTACTGTACTAAATTGTATTGTAATTGTACGGTTTGCCTTCACGTTGTAAAGCGCTGCGCAAACTGTTGGCACTATATAAATCCTGCATAATAATAATATTATTAACATAATTTTTGAATTTATCCCACATTATCCTTTGGTTAACCATCTGCACCACTCCCTTAGTGGTTTAGCCTTTTACATGATATGTGCTATGTCAGTTGGTCTACAGCAGCCCTTCTCAACCTTTTTACTCCAGAGGAACCTTTGAAATAACTTTCATGTGTTTCAGGGAACACCTGCAAAGATTAGACCATTGGGGGGTCATTAGGAAAAAGCATTACATAGAAGACCAGTGGGATGAATGTCCACTCCTTACAGTGGTGGTTAGAATGTTACCTTTATAGACAGCTTTTGGTGTCTTGCCACTGGCTCTGTCACGTCGTGATGGACCTAGATCTATGAAGGCACCATCAAATGGGAAGCCAATTAGCCCCAGCTCGAGAACCCCTAGGAATGTCTGGGTTCTGGTTCTTAACCCTGGTTAAGAATAGCTAGTCTACAGTTTTAAAGGAAAACATTTTTATGCCCACACCCACAATTATAAAATGAACAAACCCTCTTATTTTTGGTATTTGTGATGGAAGTGAGGCATGCAGACCCCTTTGGTTTTAAGAAGGCCCATAATTGTTATCCTGTG